ATAAATAAAATATTTTTAAAAAATAGTAGATAAGTTAACATCATCAAGTTATAATCCACCAGCAAATATTTGAGCATCTGCCATGAGTAGCTGGCTATAAAAGGTGCTGTAGTGTTGTTGGGGCAGTGACTTCTGTAGATACAGTGAATAAGTGACAATACAGTTCAACAGATAATTGAGTGGCAGAGGCATCTGGATAGGCTCTGATAACAGGATGATAGGACAGGTTCTTGTCCTCCAAGAATTCAGTTAAACTGGGTTAAGACAAATGGGCAGTTATAGTAGTGTGTAAAAAGTGCTATTGGGAGCTCAGGGTAGGGTTTCCAAGACTGTAGGGGTGGATTATGTAAGCTTAAACAGGAAAGACAAGTTGGAGTTAGTGGCCAAATAGGGCACAGCAAGGACACTTCACAAGGGCCCATAGGTGAGGGAGAGGTATACATGGCTGAAGCTCAGAGTGTCCCGAAGAATGGTGTAGCAAGGCTTGAGAAAGGAGACCAAAAATGATGAGGGTCCCTGGGCCTTACTCTGGGGAGTGGTACAAAGCCATCAAGATCTTTTAAATGTTGCAGGAGAGCCATCATTAGCTTTTCACCTACAGCAGATGATTAGAGCAGGGTGGCAACAGTAACAAGGGTAATAGAGTACAAAGCTGGAGAGTATAGACAAGGAAAGGGTATTTATTTTGGCCTTAAAGAAGATGGGGTCGAGTGGGATCAGGAAAGCTCTTTGGGATGGCTTGTGGGAGGTTTGAGTCATGTTCCCCATGTACACTGGAGGGAGGAACAGTGACTCCTGGGAAGGCCTAGATTTTGACAAAATGGACAAGATAAGAACTTGAGCCTGCTAGGGGGTGGTGCATGCTTCCCAGCACAAGAACAACTTGACCCCATGACAAGCCACTCACTGTCTTCAAGTAAGATACTATGGTGCCTTTGCCTTGCAAGGTTTCTGATGATGATGATTCTCATGAGAGCCAGAGTAGCAACTGACAGGAGAGGGGCACATGAGCTAGAGTTTAGGAGCAGTAATTCTAATTCTGAGTATATCTGGTCTTGCTTTTAGTATACAAATGCATTGATTTTATCTCAGTTACAGCATCTTCAAAGTTTCTTTGCACCATTTCTTTTCCCTAGCATTTTAGCTGTTTTTGAGGATTGGAATAGGGTTGAGAAAATGTCTCACTTTGTAACTTTGACTGAACTCAAACAGTAGTCCTCCTGGGTACTGGGTTATAGGCATGTGTCACAATGTGGAACATTCTGAGAACATCAGTTCGAGAACATTCCTTTCCTGTCCTCTGAGAAATCTATATAATTCCACCTGTGAACAATATTAAATTGCCTATGGCTATTTTCTTATTCCCTTAGACTTCCCATGTAATCTGTTCATATCTCTCTCTCTCTCTCTCTCTCTCTCTCTCTCTCTCTCTCTCTCTCTCTCTCACACACACACACACACACACACTCACACACTCATGAATATCTTTCCTTGCTTATAAATTGGTTCCTCAGCTAGCCTTTAAATTACAGATCTGTAGGGTAGGGTGGGGTGGGTGAGGGCGAACCACCACCCAAATACCAAAATGTTTCTGAATAATTAAATTTTTCCACCTTCCTGTTTTGTCAGCTTCAGTATCAGACACCACACAGCAGTCATCTGAAGAGCAAAGCAAGTCTCTTGAAAAACCAAAACAAAAAAAGAATCGCTGTTTCATGTGCAGGAAGAAAGTGGGACTTACTGGTAAGGCCTCCATCAGATGGTTTGAAGCTAAGATAATGCTTTGGAATAATTTATGACGGCACACTGTTACTGACCAGTTAAAATGGCTTCTGTCCCCATAAGAGTTGGTGTTATATACACTTCAGCTTCTGAATTTGCTTAAAAAATAAAAATAGCTTTTCTTTTAGAAATTTATGGCAGCTGATTTTAAGAGTATTTGATGACTAAGGTCAGTGATAAGGCAAAGGTGTGTCTCCTGCCTTCAAGGAGGGTATTTTTAGAGAACTTATTAAGCTGTGAAGTGCTTTACATGAAATGGGACTGATCATGGACCATACGCATTCAGTGAGCTTCCATGCTGGGTGTAATAACTCAGTTGTTAACATAGTTAAGGAGGAAATGTTCGTAAGTAATTTAGTAAAGAATGTACATTAAGTATAATCAGACTGCCCTAAACTTTCAGGGACAGGAGTACCATGATCAATTTATAGAAAGGAGGGGCTTGAAGGCCTGTCAAGGAAAGTACCAAAATGCTAGGATGTGTCAAGCAAACAGAATAACCTGAGCTGAAGCTGCCAGCAACCTGTTCACACAGCAGGAAGCGGGGAGGCGACTACAGCCTGACCTCTGACAAGGGTGCTGTGGGCTGAGACCAGACAGCACATTGTTGGAAAGTCCTGCAGCGACAAATAGTCGTGTTGTTTACCATGGCCAAGCATTATGCCAAATACTAGGCATAAAAATCAGAATTATAAAATGAACAGAAGGGTAGGTGAGGTTTTGAGTGAAAATTAAATTTTAGAGCTGGGCATGGAGGCACATGCCTGTAATCCCAACACTTGGGAGGGAAGTAAGTGGAAGCAGAAGGATCCAGAGTTCAAGGCCAGCCTCTGTCTCCAAAAGCAAAAGAAGAAAATTATACTTTAAGAAGACCACTTTGGGCTAAATAATAGGTTGTTGCTAAAAAAAAAAGAGATTAAAGTTAATGTCATTCCTTCACCAATATATATTTATTTAGAATATACATACATTTACAATATACATATTTAATATCAAATACAGCCTTTTATATTTATTTATTTTATCTTTTTGAGACAGGGTCTCCCTGTAGCCCCAGCTGACCTGGAACTCAATATGTAGACCAGGCTGATCTTGAACTCACAGAGATCTGCCTGGCTCTGCCTCCCGAGTGTTGGGATTAAAGGCATGCAGCACCATGCCTGGCTCAAATACAAGTCTTTTAAAAATCTCAGTGTTTCAGACTTCATGACTATAAGACTAGGATTTATTTTGTATCTAATGTGGTTATTGTTTGCTTCAATTTTCTTTTAGTATATGAACTGACAGAAAATGTTTTTGAAGTTAAAAATATAGTAAAGGAAGTAAACATAAGCTGTTGATAGTTATTCCCTGGGCTTCATTCCCCCAAATCCCATCATAATATGAAAGCCTGATCTGGAAGAGCGAGAATGTCCAGTCTTGGTACATCTGTATTTTGCCTTCAACTCTTAGGGCATTTCCTTAAAGTTAAGTAGCATCTATTGCATGTTTTCTGTATGTTAGGCACTCATTTAATCCTAGATTAATTCACAGTTCTATAAAAAATGCAGACACAAGGCTCAGAGAAACTGACAATTGGTGAGGAGTTTGACATACAGGAACCTGAGCCTGGATCCCATATTCTCAGTCACTCTGTCACGGTATGGTTCACATTTCCTGGGAGCTTAGCAGAGGGAAGTTAAAGGAGGTGTGCATCACTCAATCATAGTTCCTTCAGAATTCATTAGTCTTTCTAATTAAATGTTAAGGTGGCCTTCTGACAGGAAGCTTGTTTTTATATTATGATAATTTGTAAACAACCCATTTCCAATTTAGCAGCCCTTTTCATAGGAAGAAAGTATGGCCATATCACAGGCAGAGAAGTCAGCTCATAGCAGCTGTGACTTGCTCTAGTCAAACATATATTTGTAGATAGTAAGAAAAGAAGCCATCTGCTAATGATCAAGAACAGAACTCATGAAACTTGAGAACGATTCTTTTGACTCTGCCTTGTCTTTTTGGTTGTGAGCCTGAGCCTTTAACAGCTGCGCCAGCTCTCCAGCCCTTGACTCTGCCTTGAAGACTGTTATTTAACATTAACTATAGAAAGAACTTAATGTTTCCCCCTTCTGTCCAACTCACATAATGTATTTTCCAGGATTTGAATGCCGGTGTGGAAATGTTTACTGTGGTGTGCACCGTTACTCAGATGTACACAATTGCTCTTATAATTACAAAGCTGATGCTGCTGAGAAAATCAGAAAAGAAAATCCAGTAGTTGTTGGTGAAAAGATCCAGAAGATTTGAACTCCTGCTGGAATACAAAATCCTTTGACCATCTGCAAACTAAAAATTGACTTGAGGTTTTTTTTTTTCCTAGTCCTTGGGAATGTAGAGCACCAATTCTTGCATAGACCTTTGAATCATGCATGTCATCAGAAGAATAGATTTTTGGTTTTGTTTTGAAAATGACTCTGAACATTTTATTTCCATTGCAGTTTCTGTGGCTGAAAAGAAGTATTATCCTTTTAAGATCATTTTAATTTTAGTTGAGTGCAGAGGGCTTTTATAACATGTCGAGAAATTTTGGAGGGCTGTGATTTTTCCAGTATTAAACATGCATGCATTAATCTTGCAGTTTATTTCTCATTGTGTGCGTATATATAGCTTTTCTCTGCAGCACGATTCCCTTTGGATAAAGCCCTTCTGGGCACAACTAGTTACCAGTAACTGAATGTATCTTAATCATTATGGCTGCTTCTCTTTTTTTCATTAACAAAGGTTATACATATGTTAGCATATAGTTTCTTTGCACCCACTATTTATGTCTGAATCATTTGTCACAGGAGAGTACGTGCTGACAAGTTTTGTTTTGGAGGTGGGCTTTTGTTTTGGTTTTTTTTTTTTGGAGCAAGGGAAGGAAAAGCTGAATGCGTTTCACTGCTGACTGCAAGTTTCTTTCAGATTACTGTTCATTGGTCTGTGTGCACACAATATAAAGAATGATCTGAAGTAATTGTGCTGTATTTATGTTTATTCACTAGTCTTTGATTAAATAAAAAGGAAAACCAGAATGTTCTTATGTTACTTTTTCCTCTTTCTGGTAGTTAATTTTGTCTTGTTAAATCTTTTAGTTTTCTGTTTTCCTAATTTGGTAAGAGTACCACTGTTATTTGTCTCACATCTATTCATGGCTAATTCATTATGACAAATCAACCTCTGTGAGTTAAAGATCTCAATTTTTTCAAAACCAAGAACTTTGTGTTACGAAGATGCTGTATTTTCTGGCCCTTTTCTGTCTTGCACTCTGTCACACTGAATTAACAACTAACGCAGTCTCCTTTAGTAAGAATATAGAAATTCAGTGAGTCAGCAGGAGAACTACAGAATACACTACTAATTTGTTGTCTGGTTTCCAAACATATCTGTAAGTCAGCCTGTTTAAAACACAAATGATGGCCATACTGTAGAGTAAAAATTTCTTGGTTTGAAATTGTTTGCTTACTATATTCATGTATATAAGGTAGTTTAATATTAAAATTATAAATTTAGTTAATCACATCAATAGATTTAAATGATAATTAACCGTTATAACTATCTCAATATATTCAGATAAAGCATTTCATAAGAGTTAACTAAGCTGGGCATGCTAGTGCATGCCTTATAACTCCACCACTCACGAGACAGAGGCAGTTGGAGCACTGCAAATTCTAGACCAATCAATCTAGCCTATAAAAGTTCCAGACCAGCTAAGGCTATATAGTGTGAGTATGTCTTTAAAAGGAAGTGGGGGGCGGATTCATAATTACCAAAACATTCAGGATTGAAAAGGAATTGATTAATTCAGAGTCTCACATATCTCAGGCTGACCTTGAACTTCTGCTGCCATGCTCAATTTCTGAAGGTTTATGCAGTGCTGTTGGTAGAACCCAGGGCTTTGTATATGCTAGTCAAGCTCTGAACCATGCTGAACTATATTCTCAGGCCTAGAAAGGGATTTCTTACGGCCAGTGAGTTGGCTCAGCATGTGAGTACTACTCACCATGCAACCCTGATGACCTGAATTTGGTCCCTGGAACCCATGTAAAAGTGGAAGGAGAGGAGGACTGACTCTATAAACTTGTCCTCTGACCTTCAGATGCGTGCTACGATATGTGTACTTCCATGTACAATAATAGTAAACTACAGAAAAGGATTTCTTTATGCTGGTACTTTATGCAAAATCAGTCAAAACCCAAGTGTCTACCAAGCACTGGAAGCTTTTATCATCAGAAATGGGTGAAAGCCATCCATATTGGTGCTTATATCTAAAGTGGTGCTGCAGATCCTCACTACTAGAACAAGACACTCATAAGCCAGAAGGAAGCATTCCACGTTTTCTTATTTTGGCATTGTTTTTTATGAAAAACCTAAACAAATCTAGAGAAATCACTAGATAAAATAAGGTTTAAGTAGGTTTAGCAAGAAATAATACTAGTTTTCACAATTCAGTTAAATTTCTTTTATACCACTTGACTAGAAAACCTGAAGACATCATCTAACATAGTGTCTGGATAGTGCCACCTTGGAGATTGCGTTGGTATAAACTAGACTGCCCAGAAAAGGACGAGTGTACGGAATGAACTTTGGTGTCAGATTAAAGTACTGTGTTGCTTCAGGGAAAGGGGACAGATAATTGCTGTTTATGTTGAAAAAAGAGGAAATTAATCTCCACTTCACATCACAGGGAGAAAACCTAAAGCAAAAGCTTTAAAACTCGAAGGGAAAGAGCAGATTACTACTTAGACCTTAGGAAGCACTGTGTGACACATTAAACATTAACTGTAAAGGCATTATTAGGGTTGGCAATATGGCTCAGTGGATAAAGGTGCTTGCAGTCAAGCCTTATGACATGAGTTCGATCCCCCAGGACCGACATACTGGAGGACAGAATAGACTCCCACAAGTTATCCTCTGACCTCCACATGTGTGTTGTTGCATGAGCATGCACACCCATCCCCCGAGAAAAGAAATGTAATTTTAGGAATTTTAAAACATTAGTGAATGTCTGTTGAAGTAGTTATTTTTCTTCAGAATAGACATGTACCTTCAAAGGACATGGGAAGACAGGTTCCGTACTAGATGAAGTTACAGTATAAATCATGACCACAGTGAAATAGAATTTTTTAGTGTTGGAGTTTTCTGTAGTATCTCTTTGTGTTGATGGTTTTAGTGAACATCCTTTTGAAAATTTGTTACCTTTTAAAGTTGAACTTTGAGCATACCTTGTACTTGAGAAATCTCACTAAATACACAAGAAAACATAGGTTAAAACAGGAAACCTAGAAATAACCTGAGTCCTCACTGAAGAAGAATGATAGATAAATGTCAGCTGTCCATACAAAGTACTATTCTGTACCAACCAGAACTAATCTAGTACCAACAGAAGCACAGGAAGAAAAAGGGGCTTCACAAGCTTTAGTAACAGAAGTAAAAGCCTCACAATCTACAACATGCTCCCCTATAGAAATGTGGCTCAGTGCAGAGCGTTTGACTAGCATGTTCAAAGAAAGCACTGGGTTCAGTATTCAGTGAAGGCAGAAAAGATCTGAAAAGGGATTTGTCAGAGAGAGAATTGTGTAAGGAGGGTACTGATGGAAAACCGGAACATCCTTATGGGAGGCAGCAAGGGCTGGCAAGTGATGCCTGTGGCCACAGCGCCCCTGCTTCAGGGGCGATATAGGCTCCAGATGCTGGGATAGGTAAAAGCGTGTCATCTGAACCAGTGCTGCGTGCCATGAACCAAGGATTATGATCAGTCAGTCCTGTTTTGTTTACCTGAAACTGTGGATTAAGAAGGAGAAAAGTTAGTTATAAAGCTGTCCTGATGACCTCATTTTAAATTGAAGTTCGGGCATAAAATGGCTCTTGAGTCACCTTCCAGTGTTTTGTTTGTTTCCACAGAATTCTAGTCTAGTCTTCTAGCTTCACTACGACCAAATAGTAAAACCATAAATCACAACTTCTGCCATCTTTGAAGGCCAGAATCCACTACCATTTGTTAGGTGGGGGCTATCAGGAAGGAAGAGCTATCAGTGCAGAGTCAACAGACATAAAAAGATAGGAAAATACTGTGAGCCATTCTAGGCCCACAAACTCAATAGATAATTGGTCAGTTCCTTGCTAGGCTCAAACTTCTAATACACATTTAGAAATAATCTTAACAGAGTTTTATATATGAAAGTAATTTAGTCAGACACCTTCGCGGTGGCGGGGGGGACCTGTCTGATAGGTTTAGCTAGTGAATTCAAACACTTAAGAAAATAAACCAGTTCTCTGCAATCTGTTCCAGAACGTAGTGGCAGAAAGTGCTTTCTAATGTATTCTATCAACTACATTATGGGATCACTGATGCTTCTCATAAATGTAAATGCAAAAGTCCTTCACAAAAATTGACAAGTAGAACCTAAAATTTTAAAGAACATTTTATTTTTATTTTCTGTGTGAGTATACTGCTTACATGTAGGTAGGTGCACCCGTGTCATGCAGTGCCTCAGAGGCTTGAATCCCCTGGAACTGGAGTTACAGACGGTTGTTAGCCGCCATGTTGTTGAGAATGGAATCCAGGTCCTCTGCAAGAGCAGTCAGTGCTCCTAACCACTGAGCCATCTCTCCAACACCCCTCCCCCTCTAATTTTTTTTTTCCTTACACCACAACCAAGCAAGATTTATTCTTGGTGTGCAGAACCAGTTCTACATTTGACTATTACTTCAGTCTAAAGAAAAAAATGATCATATTGATACATGCAGGAAAAATAGAATAGAGTTAAAAATAGAATAGAGTTAAACATCCATTCACAATGAAAATTGAACAAACTAGCCTGGGCATAGTGGTACATGCCTTTAATCCCAGCACTCAGGAGGCCAAGGCAGGTGGATCTCTGTGAATTTAAGGCTAGCCTGGTCTACATATCAAGTTCCAGGTCAGCTGAGGCTACAGGAAGACCCTGTCTCAAAAATACCCTCTCCAAAAAAATAAACTAGGACTATAAAAAACTTCAGACTTTTTTTTAAAGGAAAAATATACCCCAAACCTATCTAATATATTTAGTGGTAAGAAACAAGATACTTTTCTGATAAAAACAAGGGAAAATGTCTCCTTTTGTAGTCCTATCTCATATTGTACCAGGAAGTTCAGCTAATAAATGAAAAATAATATTGGAAAGGAAGAGAGAACTTCATTTATTTGCGTATGCTGTATTTGTATAGAAAATCCAAAATTTTCTAGTTAACATGCAACTGTGTTAAGACTGTAATACACAATAAGGTTAAAACAGAACTCCATTTGTCTTTAAATTCAGGTATTTCAGTAATAACCCCAGAGAATTGTTATTTGCACATCAACATGATTCTATGAAGAGGCAAAAGGACCAGAATAATAAAAATTGTTTTTTAAAAACCAAATGAAAATTCTTGGGAGCTGGAGAGATGGCTCAGCGGTTAAGAGCACTGACTGCTCTTGCAGAGGACCCAGGTTTGATTCCTGGCACCCACATGGTGGCTAACAAGCATCTGTAACTCCAGTTTTGGGGGAAATCCGACACCCTCTTCTGACCTCTGTGGGCATTGCACGACACGGGTGCACTTACATGCAGGCAATACACTCATACACATAAAATAAAAATAACACTAAAAAATCAAAACAAAAATGAAAATTTTTAGCTTAATAAAGTTTATTGAATTCAGTGAAAAAAATAGCGGTTATTCTGCTAAGTATATTAAGCAATGTATACACTTATTTTCTCAAAAGTTAGGCTTGTAATAGTTTGAAATATCCCTCACAGTCTCATGAGCTGAGAAGTTGGTCCCAGTTGGTGGTTCCATTATGGGAGGTTTGGGGAGATGAGGTCTAGCTGGAGGAGGAGGTAGGTCCCTGGGGGCAGGCATGTTACTCCTGGCTGTTTTCCATTGCCAGGTCTGCTTCCTGGTCAGCCACAAAGTGAACAGCAATCCATCTCACACCTGCTGTCATGATGTCCTGCTCCAGCATATCAGAGCAAGCAAACATGGACTGAATCAGTCAAATCTTTCCTTTCCAGAAGCTGGAGAGATGGCTTAGTGGTTAAGGACACTGACTGCTGTTACAGAGAACCTGGTTTCCATTTCTAGCACCCCCTAGCAAACAGTCTTCCTTAAGCCCAAGGATCTAATGGCCTCTTCTGGCCTCTAGGCATTGCTTGACACAGGTGCACTTAAATATAAAACACTCATACACATAAAATCGAGATATATCAAAAATTTTAATATTGACATTTTTTGAGGGGGTCATTTAGAGACACAGTCTCCCTGTAGCCCCAGCAGGCCTAGAACTCACTATGTAGATCAGGCTGGCCTTGAATTCACAGAGATCCGGGTGCCTCTGCTTCCCAAGTGCTGAGATTAAAGGTATGTGCCACCATGCCCAGCTAATAGTTAGATTTTTTAATCTTATGTGTATGAGCACATTGCCTGCATGTATGTAAGTGCACCCGTGTCATGCAATGCCCACAGAGGACAAAACAGAGTGTTGGAGCCCCTGGAACTGGAATTACAGAGAGTTGTTAGCCACCATATGGGTGCTGGGAACCAAAACTGGGGCCTGTGCTAGAACAACCAGTGCTCTTGGTGGCTCAGCCATCTCTCCAACCCCTGTCAAAGTTTTTAATAAAAAATTTTCCTTAAAAAAGAAAGAGAAAAAAAAAAAAACCACAAAGTGAAAGTTGACACAGACTCCAAAACTTAACTGCAGTTTGCATAGTAAAGATATTGGTGGAAGACTGTATCAGTGTAACAATGGAGCAGAAATAAACAGTGAACTGACCGCACAGATGAGAGAAGGATGCTCATGGAGAGCCTTTTCAACCAGCAGTGATGTGACTATACATTGTAAAAAGTGCATATCAATACAAACCTTGAACCTTTCACAGAAGTCACAGACCTAAATGTAAAACTTAGTGACTACAATAAGAAATTTGAGTTGATGGGTTGACAATGTAGCTCAATTAGTAGACTGCTTGCCTAGCATGAAGTGGGTCTAGGTTCCATCCCCAGCATCACATAAAACATACATGATCCTACATGCCTGTAGTCTCAAAATGGGAGGATCAGAAATTCAAGGTTCTAGGCTGCATAATCAAGTTTGAAGCCAGTCAGAGAGAGAGAGAGAGAGAGAGAGGTGGAAGAACTGTTTACATGTAAAAATGGTGAGGCTGAAGAAATGACTCAGCGGTCAAGAGCTGATCTTGCAGAAGACCAGGATTTGAATCCCAGCACTCACATGGCAGCTAACAACCATCTGTAATACCAGTTCTAAGGGATCCAACACCCCTTTTGTCCTTGGGAATTGCACAACATGGTTGCACTTGGACACAGGCAGGCCTAACACTCATACACATAAAAATAAATTTTAGTATAAATTTTTAAATTACTAATGAGTTTGAAGAATATAGGACCTGGAGAAGAGTCCACAACAGATAAGAAAATATGCAAAACATGAGAAATTTATTTAAAAAATGAGATGTTTTTAATGGAAAAAATCTATAGTTCTGTTAACAGAAATTTTGGAAATGACTTAGTGAATCAAAACAAAAACAGTGGAAAGCATCACCAATAGATCAAACAGGAAAAAAAAATAAAAAGTATTACAGATGGAGGGCAAGGTTAAGGAAACATTCAAACATCAACATCAATAAAGCAAAAAATTAAAAGAGAAAAGAGCATAACATGACACAGTTTCCAAGAACTCTGGAAGAGACCGGAGACCAAAATCCATGATGCTCTGAAATAGGAACTAAAAACAGAGAATCTATTTAATGGATTTTGTAAGAGAAAATCAATGTTAGAGAAAGAAATGGATATCCAAATACAAGAGGCACTTAGGACCTCAAATACACATGACCAGAGAACTCCATTGTACAATGTACACAAGGTGCCAAAAGTACAAAAGAAACATTAAAAGGTGTAAGAGAAAAATGTCAACTCACAAAGGCAAACACATTGGAATAGCATCAGCCCCGAGTGTCAGGAAAGCATGGAGTGATGGATTTCAAGTCTTGCCAACCCAGCTTGCCACATCCAGCAAAGCTAGCTTTTAAATTTGACAGAAATAAGAACATTTCAAGACAAGCACAATTAATGCATGACCACCAAGCCAGCACTGTAAAATACAAAGAAATCCTAGTCACAAGGAAGACAGTCTCAACCAAGAGAGCACAGGAAAGAAGAAATTTCATGAGAGGAAGAGATGAGCAAAGGAGAGCTGAGGAGCAGTGTCCAACACAGCAAAGCAGTAGACTCAATCTGCAAATGGGGAGCAAGAAAACACCCCAGCCAATCAGAAAAACCACCACCCAAATGACAGGAATTAGCAAATCTCTCAGTAAGAGCCCTAACTGTAGAGTGAGGTGGCTTATACCTCCCAGCACTTGGAGGCTGAGGAGGAAGAGTGCCAAAGCAAGCCTCAGCTACAGAATGAGACCCTCGATTAAACAAAACAAAACAGACAATAACCCTAACTGTAAATGATCTTAACTCAGATTCAAAGATACAGACTGATTGCATCAAAAAACAAGCTCCAACTCTGTTGTCTCCAAGAAACACACCTCCCTGGCAATACGAGTAAAAGGATGGAAGGAAGCCAAAAGAAAGTTTGTGTGGCTATTCTAATAACTGTTAAAGTAGATATCAAGCCAAAATTAGAAGTGACAGAAGGATCCATTACAAATTAAAAAGAACAGTCCATCAAAAAGTAACAATTGTGAAGGCATGCACACCAAAGTTTGGATGGAGCTCCCAGTTTCATAAAACAAACACTAATGGACATCAAAGTACAGATAGATTGTGATAAAATAGTGGATGACTGCAGAATCTCACTCTCATCAATAAATAGGCCATACAGACTAAAAGTCAATAAACTTCAGAATTCAAATAAGTGAAATAGACTCTACAGACATTACAGAGTATTTCCGTCTGTATTATTTTTCTCATTGCTGTGGCCAAATACCTAACAAGAAGCAGCTTAAGGGTGGTAGGGTTCATTTAGACACAGTTTGAGGAGATGCTCCTCCACGTGGTAGGGAAGGCATGGTGGCCAGAGGGTGAAATGGCTGATTGCATTGTATCAAGTCAGCAGAGAAAGATGAAAGCTGGTGCTCAGGATTCTAATATTCATTCAAGGACCCCAGCCCCTGGGTGGTGCTGCCCACGTTCTGTAAACAACACAGTAATAGGTACACCCAGAGATGTGTTTCCACAGTGATTCTACAGTCAAGTTGACAGTTTTAACTCTTACACCATCCAACAGCTGCACAATAACAAATTCTCAGCAGGCCATATGACTTTAAAATAGATAATATTTTGGGCAATGAGGCAGGTCTCTGCAAATATAAATAAATTTAAATATTCTTTTGTATCTGATCAGATCATGTACCTGAAGTGTTATTATCAGCGTTTGTGCTATCACAGCCACATTCTGGGTGCTCCTAATTGCCTTCACTGGAGGGACACCAGAGTATATCAGTGATTGGGCTATATGTAGAGCCTTTATACTTGCCTCCCGCTAGAGAGCCTGTCTCTCTCTCTCTCTCTCTCTCCCTCCCTCCCTCCCTCCCTCCCTCCCTGTATCTCCCTCTCTCTCCTCCTTCCCCATTCCTCTTCCTCTCCCTTCCCCCACCCCTCTCTGTCTCTTGGTCTCCTGCCAGGCAGGGTTCTAGGCACGCACCAAACATGAATTGTATTCTTCTATCAACTCTGAGGTGGAACTCCTGTTAGTGCTGTACTGAAGAAAGCCGAGGCAGAGAGGAACCCGGCCAGGTGAAATATACAGGTGCTTTACACTTCTGAACCTTAATCTAAGGTAAGCCTTCCAAGCTGGTGTGAAGTCTCTTTTCTTGCACACCCCATGGAAGCTTCTCTGCGGACCGTTGAGTTAGGTTTATGCCAGCGCTGGCGCAAGGGTCGCAGGGGAGATGTTCAGAAGCAGGATGCCGAGCTTGGGGACCTGGAGTGGCACAGTGCGCCCACTACTGAGGAGCTGGCCACAGCGGAGGGCTGGAACACGGAAACACCGACCTGAACCTTGTCTGGGGAAGCGGAGTTCAGAGGGCGGGGCTCCGGGAGAGGCGAGGCTGCATGTGGAAGGAGAGGGGCAGGGAGATATTATGGAAATTAAGCACCACCAGGGCGGGGCCCTGGGCCGGTGAGGGTAGGTCCCAGGTGCCGGGGCGGCCTTGCGCGGGACCGGGCGGTAGGAGGGAGGAGCAGGAGATTGGGCGGTGGGGGGGAATCTGAGTGATCACCCGCGCCCGAGGGGCGGGGACAAGGTGGTAAGGGAGATGGGAGGGAGCCGGGACGGCCCCGGGTGTCCGAAGCGAGGAGAGGGCAGGGGGGAGGGGCCAGGGCGGTCCCGGGTGCTGGAGGGGCCGGGTCGAGCTGGAGGGGTGGGGAAGAGGGCGGCCCTGGATGCCGGGACGCGACCCTTGACGGGTCCCGGTGCGGGGCGGTCCCCCGGGCCTGGGGAGTGGTGGAGGGCGGGGATGTCTCGGGAGCCCACCCTGGGGTGGTGCGAGCCCTAAAGGGCGGGCCGGTCGAGGTGCCCGGGAGTGGGCGGGACCACTGGGTGCTAGGACGCGAGCGAGGCGGGCCCGGGTGCGGGGCGGTCCCTGGGGCCGCAGGGGTTGAGGTGCTACAGATCCCAGCCGCTGATCGCAGTCTTGCCGGCGGCCCCCTGCCGGCTGCCCGCTTTTCCGCTGGGTGCTCGCCAGCATGTCCTTCATTCCGGTGGCCGCAGACTCCGACTTCCCCATCCAAAACCTGCCCTACGGGGTCTTCTCCACCCGAAGTCATGTGAGCTGCGGTGCCAGGGCTAGGGTGCCGGGGGGGGCGGTGGATGCGGGGGGGGGGGCGGAGATGCGGCGGTGGGAGGCCGGGCCGGTTCCTCCAGAGCCTCGGTGGAGGGTACCTGTTGCTGTGACCTCGAGGTGTGCACGCTGTTGAACTTCCAGCCCCAGCTTCCGCCGTACAGTGCGAGAACCAGAAGCAAAAGAGAAACGGCATGGGCAGCCGGCCAGTGGGATTGTGGTAGCCCAGACAGAGATGCGTAGGCCAGCAGGCACTTTCCTTTCGAGAGACCGGGCTTGGATCCTTAGCCCCTGACCCTCCAATCTGGAAAATGCAAAGTAACTGACTCAGATACTTTTTCAGCAGTTAGAGGGCACATGCATTTCCTCTCCTAGAGCTGTGCAGTCTAAAACGTCAGGTCTCTTTGCCTCTAGACTGGGTTCTTTCGGTGCCTAGTGTGGGCTGCCCAGTGCTGATTAGAAAACCCTGTTGGGTGGAGAAACGAACTTGAACTTGTACATGTAGTCTGATTAGACAGAGATCTTTGAAAACGGGTTTGATGGAGCAGGGTTTCCAGCAAATTCATGAGGGTCCTTGGATGGGAAAAGCAGATTCCTCTGGAATCCTTTGTGAAATATTTTGTTTGCTTTCTGCTCCCACCTCAAAAGGTACACTGCTGATTCGGCTCTGTGAGCCATAGAACTAGGGCACTGCTTGCACCTGTCAGGAGTCAGGAAATCTTTGCCAGGAATGGCATATAGCACAGTGGTTTGCTAGCATTCAGAAGGCCCTGGGCTCCATACCAATACCAGCAAAAGAAAGACAGGAAAAAAGAAGACACTGTTTGCCTAATGGGGTTCCTGGCAATGGTTCCTTTCCTAGAGAAGGGGAGGGCTCCTTTTCTCTGTTTATTGGCCCTAGGTGGCTGTCCTTTTGTGTCCTGCCTGTGGTGAAAGTCTTAGAAGAGTCAACCTGTGGTTTCACAACTGCCAGGCATGACTAGATGTTGCAAGGCCACAAAGTTAATGCTCAGTCCTCTCCATGTAGGAGGTATGCCAAACCTTAATGTGGGCCAGCCAACCAGCTTCTGGAAGCAGAACCCTCCCTCCAGCCTCCTCTGATACTTTGCCCTTAGCAGAGACCAGCTCTCAACCTCTGTGGAGGCAGGCATACCCTCAGGACTTGACTAGGGACTACAGTGCTCTGACTTGCCATCCCAGAAGAATCTGGGATTAATACCTTTTCCTGTGTGACTAGAGACTGTCATACACCAGGCTCTGCAGCTTTGGCAGTCACTAGGGATTTCTGAGAGGCATGCTTGGATGGAGAGTTAGCTCTGGCATTCCAGAGGTTCAATACTTCCAAGCTATGCTGACCTCATCTGAATCTGTCCCTGCAAGCACTGAACATCCCATTGGTCATGGTCACCTTTCCCCGCTGCAGAAGTGGCCACAGCAAACTTCCCTAGGTTGGTAGCTAACCAGTCTCAATTTGGGTAGAACAGCAGTGAATTAATACAGCTATCACTTGGTTCTTCGGTTCCGTGATTTCTTACAAACTACAACTCTGGTGCAGACACTAGGCTATGAGTTGTGGATCAGAGACACAGGTTCTCCCTCCCTCTGTGCCTGGCTGCTGGTCAGTGCATGCCTTGTTTTCTGAAGGCAGGGGTGCAGTGACCTGGAGGCTGGTTTGCCAAGTGCCTGGTTAAAGCCTGACCCTGCTTCTGACCCTGACCTGTGTTCTCTCCAGCCATACTAGCTGCATTTTAGTCTCTGACTCATTAAGAACAGTGTCCTGCCTCAGGGCCTTAGCACATCGCTTCAAGTACTCTTCTGTACATACGTTTTACAACTTGGTTTCTTCTCACTCCTCAGGAGTCATCTCTGAATAAGCTCCTGATTGCACTCCAGCTAGGGTTATCTGCCACCACATCCCATGTGGCTTTTTATTCTAGAGGTCAAGAGCCAAGCTGCTCCTCTCTGCATGGTGATCACTGGTGCTTAAATGGTCCACTGATGCTGTATTGTGATCAGTGTCCACCTGCATTTGGTCTGGTATTGAGAGATTTACAGGTATAAACTGGATTCTCACAACAAACCTATTGTGTTATTGTCTCCATTTGTATGTTGGAAAGGAGGCTCAAAGAAGCTCATGTTTCAGGTCGTCTCACAGCCAGTAAAAAAGTGGATTTGAGGTTGAGCTGTGTCCCTCACCCTCCACTCTCTTTGTCCTCCATCCGTGGCCAAAGTTGGAATTTCCCTTTGGGCAATTTTATGTCAGATATGACCAAATGTTATCAAGTAGAAGCCTCCCTCAGTCATTCTCTTAAAGTTAGTTAAAGGAGGTGCCTTCCCTAGTTTGTCTGTCTCAAGCTACAGGGGAACTGAGGCCCAGGGGATCAGGGATTTGGCTAGGGTGATAAAATGTTGAGTGATAAAGCAGGCTGGGATGTAGGGGTCCTCGCTTCCCCATGAACTGAAGAAAACCATCCTCAAAGTTAAGCAGTGGAAGCTACTCTCAAACTTTTCCCATTCCTTGTTGTCAGCTTGGAGCACAAGGGCAGTGACTTAAAGGAAGTTTCTAGGCTTTCTTCATATGTGACTAGGTGAGCAGCCATGTATGTGATCAGGTCACAGAAGTGGCTCAATGGTGGAGATTCCTTCTCATCTTCAGCAAGGTGTGGGAACCAAGGTCAGCTGAATGCGCCTGGGTCTGCCCTGCACATTGCCTAAGTGTAAGGCGACTTGGATCCATGTGTCTCAACCTCTCTGTTCTTTCCAGCAGAGAGGGAGGTTGAGACCTAGGAAGTTACAGAGCTGGGAAAGGATAGCCAGGCTCTCCTTGGGGCCAGGGTATGTGGCTTTGTTCTATCCCTGACCACTGGAGGGTTAAATGCACAAGGAAGTGAAGACCTCTTAGCCAACTGAATGGAGCAAACGTTGGAAAGAAGCCAGCCAGGAATCCTATCCCTCAGCTCCCTCAAGCCCCCTGGAATGGCAAAGCTGCTGTGGTTCAGGCTCCAGAAAGCCTGGCTTAGGAGGAAGCTCAAGGAAGTGGAATTTGCAAACATACTCAGGGTCAGATACCAGCCTCGATCAAACATTTGAGGCATCAAATTCGATCAAACATTGGAGGCATCGAATTCTTATGACTTGATGAAGAGATTTTATGGTGCATAAAAGAACTTCACCTATATGGTCTGAGCAGTGTGGCTTTTACAACTCCCTACAATCTGAACTCTGCTGCATTTGAGCCACCACAGAGCTGTTATTCAAAGTTACCATGGGACACTTGACTACTCTGCTGCATACATGAATATCCCTGAGGAAAGGCCAGAGCCTAACATGAAAAGGATTTCAGCTGCTTAGTCAAGTGGTAGGGAGGTCATTGCTAGAGGAGTGTAAGCAATGCTGGAGAACTTTGCCTCAACCAAGGCCTTGCATCAGGCTACCTGTTCTTTCTCCATTTGAAGACGTATTTGATTCCAGTAACTCTGGTTCTTTTCTCCCATCCAAGGGAACACAGGTTCATTTTCTTTCTTGTGCTGAATACTGAGGATCTTGCTCCTCAGTCCCTTCTCTTTAAGGGCTGTCTCAGGGGGACCCATGGACCCTTCAGTAGATGGACATTGCAGTAAATGAGCTGAACCTGTCAGAACTGACCTTTCTGTCTTTCTCCTAGCCCAGGCCTCGGATCGGTGTGGCCATAGGTGACCAGATCTTGGATCTCAGTGTCATTAAGCATCTCTTCACTGGGCCTGCTCTCTCCAAACACCAGGATGTCTTCAATGAGGTAGAGACATCATGTCACAGATTGTCTTCATCTCAGCCCCACCTACTGCAAATGAGATAGTACCCTTTCTACCTCAGGTTGTCCCTGGATGGGTGGGATCTGTTCTGAGACAAATAGGCTGTCAGGAGGTAGCCTTGACATCTCAGGGTGGCTTTTCAGCACATTGTGGGCTCCAGAGTACAATGGTTCAGTGCTTCTGCAGTCCTGAGTCTTTCACACTTGCCACCAAGATGAGGATCTTCTGTAACTCTGGTTCCTTTTTATACCGAGCTATTCTTGCCTTGGCCCATCCAGGCCCAGGTAGACCCCTGATGGAGAAAGCCATGAGCCTTGCCCTCCAGGTTTGTGGTACAGCCTGGGGAAATCAACCTGGCCTCCATGTCCATGTGGGATAGGTACCCTGTCCTTTAAGTGCAGTATAGAGCCTAGGGCAGTCAGCCTGGCTTCTATGTACATGTAGGAGGAATTCTCTATCCTCCAGATGTACAGTAGAGCCTAGGGAAGCCAGCCTGGCCTCCATGTCCATGCAAATAGGTGCTCTGTCTCCAAGTGTGCATTAGAGCCTAGAACAGACAGCCTGGCCTCCATGACCATGTAGGATAGGTGTCTTGTCCTCCAGGAATGCCTCCGTGTCCATTTGGGATGGATGTGATTTTCGTTCCTTGTCAGGGGCTGATCCAAGAGACCTTAGGATCTGCCTCTTCCCCACATGAGGGCAAGGATGAGAGTGGTGTTTACAGAGCTCCTCTTCTGTTCTAGGAGCTAAATATCTTGTTAGCCCTCCTGGCCATCATCTGGAATGGAATCAGAACTGTAGCTAGATAAATGAGACCTGAGCATATGAAGAAAGATGGGATTCTCCCAGGTTACATGGCTGGAAGAGTTGGAGCGCCTAGAACACTGACTCTTGGCAGGGGAGCTGCAGGTACTCTCTGCTGGGTCTCACTGGCAAAGAGACCCCTGCTTTTGAGAACAGGATCAGTTAGGCTGCTATAACCCTGTAGATGAAGGGCTGAGGCCACCTGCAGCTGCAGCCAGATAGGGTTTCATGGGTTGTTGTCTAGAAACAGCCCCTGGGCATTGACAGTGGGTAAACAAGAAAGGTGACAGCTTTCTCCAGTTCTATGTAGACATGACAAAAACTGGAACAAAGGTGCCAAGCTTGTGAGTGACTGGAGAGGAATCAGGCCCTGGTAGGAGGCCTGGCCCAAGGCTTTCTCATACATGACCTTTTCTGCCCCTGTTTTGGTCCTAGCCAACTCTCAACAGCTTCATGGGCCTGGGCCAGGCTGCCTGGAAGGAGGCGAGAATGTTCTTGCAGAACTTGCTGTCTGCCAGCCAAGCCAGACTGAGAGATGACACGGAGCTTCGGCAACGGTGAGGATAACGTGGGCCTCATGTGTAGGAGGGGCCTGGGTAGTTGGCAGGGTCCTCCTGCCTGGTATAGGCAGGCCCAGCTCTGTCCAACCCTCTGCTGGGTTGCATGTTGGTGGGAGGGTCTATGCCTGAGTTCCCCTGTTGCCTGGACCAAAGCAGCCAGGCAGGGCCTGCTGGCCCATGCCCTCACTCTATGCTGCCTCATCAGCACAGCTGTACTCTCAGCTGCTTTCTACCTCTACTTACTTTTGCAGCGAGTAGATTGGCATTTGAGCTTTAGGGTCCTCAGCAGTAAACCCATTCAGCCTTGCCCTGGCTCTAGCACAGCCAGGAGTGCCCACAGAGATGGTGAGCAGGAGTCTGACTGTGATAGAGTCTCCCAGCATGTGACCCAATCAGGGCCCCACTTTACCAGTCACTTGACCTTGGAGTCTTTGTTTCTGTGTTTCAGTGCATTCACCTCTCAGGCCTCTGCCACGATGCACCTTCCAGCTACCATAGGTGAGTGCTGCCTCCCTGCTAAGTCAATTTGATCAGTTTAGTGGGCCTGGAGGGATGGCCAGGTGTCTTGGACCCCATATCTTTATGGGAAGGAAACAGAGGGCTCTGGGGTTGTTGACTGACTTCAACATGACTGAACTCGGCACACTGTTCATCTTGACTCAGCTTGTCTCAAGGTAGAACTCCCAGGGCAGTAGCAGTCTGCCCACGTTTGTGACTAGCCATGTGGCTCCCTGAAGAGCAGTTTGGTCCTTCTTTCTTAAGGTTGTAGGGCAAGCACTCTGGGCTGTCAGGGGAGAATAGCTTTAAGGAAGAAAGTTAGAGGGCCCTATAGGACCCATGTGTATACTCAGCCAGGCACCTGGTTTGACTGTGAATCAGGAAGTGGCTGTTGGTACAGCCTCCCAGCCTGAAGCTCAAGAGGAGCCTATCAGCCTGTGGCCAGGTACTGGCTGCATCCTTGTATGTCAGCCATAGGAAGGGGCCTCTGCCTGGGCACCTGTGGCCTGGCAGCCATCTGGCCTGGCCCTGGGAGAATAGAACTTCCTGAACCAGCTCTTCAGCTAGGCAAATCCCTCTGTGCTAGTAGCTAGGTAGAGGGTAGGCTTGGGGATGGGCTCATCCCTTGCTTCCCTTTAGGGCTATACTATGCTTTTTATGGCAAACCAGTTGACTTTTAGGGGTTCTTCATCATTTCTAGCTAAGTGATTGTTTTAATTTGCTTTCTGTTGCTGTTATAAAACACAGACCAAAAGCAACTTGGGGGAGGAAAGGGTTTGTCTGCCTTATAGCTTTAATTCACTATTAAGAGACTCCAAGACAGGCGCCTAGAGGCAGGAACTGAAGCAGAGACCAAAGAGGAATGCTGCTTACTGGCTTGCTCAGTTACCTTCCTTGTACAGCCCAGGCCCACCTGTTCAGGGATGGCACTGACTACAGTGGGCTGGGCCCTCCTGCATCAATTACCAATTAAGAAAATGCCTCACAGACATGGCCACAGGCCAATCCGATGGAGGAAATTCCTCCAATGGGGCTCCCTCTTCCCAGGTGTCTCAGGTTTGTGTCAGGTTGACAAAACCTAACCAGCACAGTGGTGGTGCCACTTTTTATTTTTATCCTTATGGATTTATTCTTGTGATAAATGTCTTCACTGTTATTTCTGTGCTTTGGGACTGAAGAGGAAAGGTAGCAAGTTCAGGCCAAGTTCCTTCCACCCCTTACTCAGTCTGTCCCTAGACTGCTTGTTCTCTTCACACTCCCCACTTCCACTTCTACCCCAGGTTTTGGGATTTGGGTATTTAGCTCTTGTTTTGTGGGGAAAGTGGTAGAAGGTTTAGGAAGAAGATTCATCAAATGCCCCAAGTGGACTTTTTTCAGTAGATTTTAGTAATCCATTCCTGAATTAGAGAGGGTGCCTATAGCTCATCATGATCAACAGGCATTGAGTAAGCACCTGAAATACACAAGTTCAAGGACAAGATTCCTTGTTCTTGATGCTAAGGGCGAGTTATATGAAATGAGGACTGGACTATGGCTTCCCTGAATGACAGTAGTATAGCAAAGCTCTGCACACAGGACTGGAGCAGAGTGGGAAATGAAGCCCATCCCAGGAAGGGTTCAGTTTAGGTGGAGGATTCAGAGGTCTTGCTAGCAAGTGAGAAGGAGCCTCAGACTATTGCTAGGATTTGAACAAGAGAGATAAGGGAGAAATTGGGACAGGGTATAGGCACGTCCTAAGCAAAGATGTGACCAGGATTGCCCATGTGAGGGGTCATGACATTTACATACGGTTACAAGTAGGAAGGAGAGTGGTAGCAGACACTTTGTACTCTAATTCCACCAATGCCTAATGCAGGAAGTGTGCGCTTCTTATTTCTTGTTCTCTTGGTTGAGGTTCTCAGGTCTCGAGTCATGCTGTTTCTTGTTGCACTTGGTGCTGTCACTATAAGAGGAGTTTGGGTTCCTACTCTTGGAACTGGACCTCCTCCATCTAGGTCACTGGCTCTCTTGGATCTTCTTTCTGCAGGAGACTACACGGACTTCTATTCCTCCCGGCAGCATGCCACCAATGTTGGCATCATGTTCAGGGGCAAGGAGAATGCACTGATGCCCAATTGGTATGTCCTGGACCAGATATTCGGATAAGATCAAAGTCATTTGTCCATCTCCACAGTATGTTTTTCCCAGGAGCTACAAAGCCCATCTTAGGTTAAAGTAAACTAGGTGAAAGACCAGGACTGATGATTTTACAGCCTCTAGAAACAGTGGCCCAAGCTTATGGTCCCCTCATGTGACTGTGGGCCTGTCAGGGGCCTATGGGTAGGTACTTTCTGCTCCCTCCTCTGAGCAACAGCCCTGTGTGGATTGGACCCCTGAGGCGCCATAATGGTCTGAACTCTTTCACTGGCAAGCTTTCTATTACTGTTCTAGCTGCAAACATTCTGCTACTTAGCACATTTTGAAAAATATCAGGAATCTAAAGCACTTCTGTTCCCACACAGAGGAGGTCCTATTTCAGAGCAGGGAGACTCAGCCTGTGTTATCTTATAATAAAGAATAAGTGCATAAAGTAAACAAAAGGCAGGCCACAGGCCACCTTGCACCACAATTCACTAGTGGCTTTTTGCTCCTACTCTGTGAAGGAAATGGGGTACCACATCTCCTCAACTTGGTTCAGACGATAGTAAGGCCTCATTCCCTCACCCAGCCTTGTCCCTCACTTTCTGCTCCCTGGCATTTGGCCAGTGGAGTTCTGGCATCCTGGTGACAGCCAGATCCTTTGAGGCTGGACAGTCCACTTGGGTCATCACCTCTGAGGACATGAGAATAGACAGTTTCTAGTTGGCTGGGGACAAACAGCCTGGAGCTGCACAAGGATAGTCTCTCATATCTGCCCACCTCAAGTGGGAGCCTGGCCACCAGCCCAGCTTACCTTGTCCTGCAAGCCTGGCCCTGTTGTTCATGTTTCTGAGTGGTAACCTGTTGCCTTTGTCCTTATCCTTTCTGTATCATAGTCTAATAGACCCTCCCATGTGACACAGCCTCTCTGGGCATGAACTTTAGTTTTGAGTAACTGTCACATCCATAGGGCAACACAGAACCAACGACCAGGACCCCAGCCTATTTCTCAGCTTGGACAATGGCTCTGACCTGGGAGTCAGGAGATACCAAATTTCCTGTCCATCCTCAGGCACGTCAAGCTCCTCTAAGCTTGTTTTCTGTGCAATAAAATGGGACTAATAGCTCTGGCCTGAGCATCTTCACAGAACCACTATGAGGCTTAAAGAAATGAATGCAATGAATGTCTTGAAGAATACAGGGCCCTGGGTATTCCATTCTCAGTAGGAAGTGGTTTGTAGCTATTTAGATCAAGAGAGGTATACATGATACATGTTAATTGAATAGACAAATTATAGTATAGTATGTAATGTGACCAAAAGATAAGTTAAAAAAATACACAGTTTCCTGTAGCCACGGTGATGAATCACCACAATCCTGGTAAATGGTACAAAGGTGTTCTCTTGCAGCTCTATGATCAGTCTCTCTGGGCTCACATCAGGTATAGCAGGGCTGGTTTGTTCTGGAAGCCCTCAGAGAAAGCCTGATCCCTTCAATCAGTTTTGGAGGTCACCTCTGCTGCTTGACTTGTGACTTCTTCATTCCATCCCCTTCCATCCTCACATCTCTTACTTCTTCATTTGATCTTCTTGCCTTTTTCTTGTAAAGACCTTGTGATTGTAAGGTTCCTGCCAATAACTGGAAATAATCTGCCTGCATCAGGACCCCTAACTTGATTATATCTGAAAATCCTTTTTGCCATATAAAGGGACACAGGGATTAATCTCTGGATATCTTTGGGCCATATTTTAGCTTAACACACACAAGCATATATACACTTGTTTATATGTATTAGCTTTATATTTATATATTTATTGATGTATTTATGGGAAACATGGAATTGGGAATGAGCAGGAAGGAGGGCACAGAGTGGCCCACTGACCTTGTTTTTCTATGGGAAGTGGCTAGATGGGGACAGATGACAAATTTATGGTTTTTTATCTGAATTGTTTGACTACTGCAGGCCATGTCATTACATACAGTTTTGTTTCATAATTTTATCCAGTAAAGGAAGCAAAAGGGGAGAAAAAAGGACCCCTCCCCACTATTCACCAGAAGTGATGGCATTGAACAGAGAGGTTGGATGTGCTGCTTCCTGATCTGTTCTCCAGATTGCATACACATGCACAAACACATTTACACGCACACATTTTATTTCTTTAGTTAACAGAATAAGACTATGCTCAAATTTATTTCATTTTATCATTGACATTTCTGTAAAAAAATTCCTGTTATTTATAAAATACAATTTTGACTAGATACTACAAGACAAAAACAGTAAATATCACTTATATGTTTAAAATGTAGACAACTGCAGTAGTAAGTGTATAGAAATATAGGGAAAGGTAGAACACCAAATTCCAGACCTGGGATGAGGGGAAAGATGGGAGTTGGCATTTTGAAAGATCTGTAAAGTGGATTTTTAGCTGAATCAGAAAGTTTTTATTCTCTTGGCTCATCGGCAGTGCGTGTTTATATGTTTTCTATCTTAGTGTCATAAAATAACTTATGAAACATTTAAAAAATTAGAAGCACACTGAAGAGTCCCTCAGGAGAGCCACATGAGTCATTCTCCAGAGTCAGAATTGTTAATGATTCCTAAAGTCTTGTCTCAGGCATTCTTGCATCTTGCTTCCAATACTGCATGGTCACTTCTCTTTTATTAATTTGAAGCATCTTGTGTAAGTGATAGAAATGTACCCTCTCTCACAGTGCACTGTGAACATGTTTTTTAGTACCAGTTGAAAATCCCTATCCAAAAATCCCAACTCCAGGATGCTTCAGAATCAGAAACATTTTGAGCTGCTGGCACAGTGGCACCATGGCATGATATCACCGTGATGCTTCCTGGTGCTTCAGTGTGTACAAACTTTAAAAGCATTAAAAAGTACTGTGTGACGTTACCTTCAGGCTGTGTGTATAAGATACACGTAAAACATGTGAATTTGGGGATAAATTTGGGTCCCATCCCCCAAATAGCTTATTACATATACACAAGTATTATAAATCTGACAAAAGGGTTTGGCAAGATGGTTCGGTACAAACCTGATGACCCAAGTTCAATTCCTGGAACACATGTAAAGGTAGAAGGAGAGAACCTACTTCATAAAGCTGTCTTCTGGTTCCCACACTCGCACTCACGCATGTCATACACAAGCACACACACAAGTTAATGAATAAATAAGTAAATAAATAATTTTTTTTAATCTGGAAAATATCTAAAATCTGAAACAATTCTGGTCCCACACAAGTCAGATAAGGGAGACTTCACCTGCATGTTGTCTTTACTTCTCTGCCCCTCTAGTTGTTAAAGTTTTACATTTTTAGTGTCCTGTTTCTCCAAGAATCTGAAAGGTTTTTTTTAAACTATATTTTTATTAATTTTGTGTGCATATCTGTGTATGCTTATGCCACAATGCTCATATGGCTATCAGAGGACTCTTGGGAGTCAGTTTGCTATTTTCACCATGTAGGTTTTAGGGACTAACCTCAGGTTGTCAACAGGAACCTTTACCCACTGAGCCATCTCACCAGCCCTGAAAATATGTTTTGTATTTTCCTCTGCAATTTGTACCCTTTCTTTGTACATGCAGACCTTTAATCCACCAGCATTACCTTTTGCATGTGATATGATATATGATATGATATACAGATAACATGAGAGACAACCACAGGAGAGTATTTTTCAGCTCTGGAGTCAAGATGTTGGCAGGCTTCAAGGGGATAGTCCACCTCTTGCCTTTCCACTTTTGGCAGCCACAGGTGGTCCTTCTGGCTGCATCACTCTTGTCTGCTGCTGTCCTCATGTGGCTGTCTCCCCTATGTCTTCTACCTTCTACAAAAAAAGACACTTTGAGATGTAGAGGCCCCAGATGATCCATAGTTATCAATTACACCTATATAGACTCTTCCTGCATTTTCTGGGGGGTTAGATGTGGACACATCTTTTGGGGAGCTGCCACTCATGGTACTGCAGATATGACCTTGCTTCATTCAAAGCGTTCATCAGTGTTTATCACAATACTATTTTCTCACCCACGTGCAGTTCACAGTATGTTCATTTAAGACCTTTACTCCTGCCTACCTAGCTTGATAGTGTTTTGATATTTGGGAATTCTTTCCTTTATTTCCTCTCCCATATTCCTGTCTTACAATTTCTTTTAATTTTTTCATTTATTATTTTTGTTTTATGCATATTGCCAGCACACATCTAAGTGCACCTGTGTCGTGCAATGCCTGAGGAGGTCAGAAGAGGGCATCAGATTCCTTGGAACTGTAGTTACTGCCATGTGTGCGCTGGGAATTGAACCCAGGTCCTCTGGGAGAGCAGCTAGTGATCTTAACCGCTGAGCCATCTCTCCAGCCCCCTGTCTTATAATTTCTAACAGTGTTCTGATAACCCTGGGTGACTCTTCTGCTCTGAGCTTTATGGTTTATTCCCAAGTTCCCCTTGTATTGGGGGTTGGACAAGGGTCACAAAAGGAAGCTCTGTCAGTGCTCAGAGTGACCTGACTTTGAATCTATGTGCCACTTTTACGTAGTGGTGACCTCAGACAGCCAGGGCATTTGCAGAGCCCATGCTCACTTAATGTGGCTGATATCGCTGCAGTGTGAGACTCCTGAGAATTTCAGGAAGCTATGATCAGCACTTTTGGTGGTGCCTGGAATAAGCTGTACTGTGTACTTTTTGGTCTTTTGTTGGATGCTATTCATGTATGTATGTGTATCAATACTGAACTGGCGTTGGGGGTCAGATCAGGAGAAAGTCTTATTTCACCTTTCAGTACCTAGTTTTGTTTTGTTTTTTTTAACAAATTGTGATAAAATGCATATAACATCAAATTTACCATCTTAACCATATACACGTGTGCAGTGGTGGTAAGCACGCTCACAGTGTTGTACCATCATCCAGGTTTGTCTCCAGAGATCTTCATCTGACAGAATTCCACATGAATTAAGCTACAACTTCTGGCCCACTCCCAGTCCTTGTTTGCCCCATTCTGCCCGTCTCTGAGTTTCACTACTCTAGGTGCTTTACAGAAGTGGAATAGTGCAGTATTTTTGTTTTGTATATGTTTGGTTATTTCATTCAAATAACATGGGCCAGATCTTTCT